AAAGTGAACATGTTGCATTGTTTTTTGTTGCATTGAGATTTAATTTCTTTTGATAGTATTTTTGAATACTATGCGTCTCTATACATAATTTAAATCACTTTTCCTGTTAAGTTTGTGTACTTACATACATTAAAATACGATTTTTCAAGTGTACGAATATTTATTTCCCCCCAATGTAGGTACTCATCTAAGAATTCATTTACAGACGAAAATATTAATATTGTCTGACATCAGCATGATTACGACGGAAATGTTGATTGAGATACTTCACTTGAACAGCTTCACGCACTCAAAAAGTTAAGCTACATTAGATTTCGTTCACGGAAACAACACTCGATGTTTACTCGCATGGCATATTACCGTCTCTCTAATATATTAATTGGAAGTAAATATTGAAATGATACGAAACGAGAAATCTAGAGAGCGTGTAATCATATCTTTTTCGGTGATAAGCTACTTCGTGAATTTAGCGTTGAACAAATCGAATAATTTGGCTGAAAATTTCTCGGAGTTTAATAAGTAAAAAACACCAACAACAATGAGCGTATAACAACAATAGCTCAAGATGTAGGAATTAACACAATTTATGACAAACTATGAAACCTGTCAAGATTATGACAAACTATGAAACTTGTCCTGTTTAGGTCCGGTGGCTCAAGCACAGTCCGCTGGCTCGCTCACGCTTGGCTTAATCTGCTACACATCTTTGCAAAACTCTCACCTATATCAAATATATTAAGAATATTTCAAAGATAATAAGGGCCATCGCGAAGGGACTGATTTAAATCACACATACTTAAGAATATTTCTGGTTTTGTAGCCATAAACATCGTGTATGTGGTGTCCAACCTCAACATTCAAGTATAGGTTAAGGCATAAAATATGGCGTATATAATTCAGCTGCTAGACTTACCTTATTAGCGACTAGAAGAAGAGGAACTCGGTCGGTGCCCTTGACCCTGGTAATTTGTTCCTTCATTGCTTTGATATCCTGGAAAGTTTGTTGGTTAGTGAGTGAGTAGACGACGACGAAGCCTTGGCCGTTCCTGATGTACAGGTCCCGCATGGAGGCGAACTGCTCCGTGCCTGCCGTGTCGAGGATTTCGAGCACGCACGGACTGCTGTCCACCTCGATTTCTTTTCTGTAGAAATCTTCGATTGTGGGATCATATTTCTCCATGAAGCATCCCGATACAAACTGTACCGTGAGTGCCGACTTGCCTACACCACCCGAGCCCAGAACAACAACCTTAAATTCACGCATTGTGATTCTTTACTTTTCTTTTGGGGTTAATATGGAATTTTGACCGAATCCACTTGCAATGGAAGACTGGTAACAAAAATTGAAATGGTATGAATAAGTTAAACAGGAAATTATTTAAAATCTCTACTGATGAGAGAAAATAATTTGAAATCAAATCCTCAATGAACAAAAATAAATATCAAGTCTATATTCAAACCATTCCTGAATAAGGTTGCATGGTTCCCAGGAGGAACTGAACGCTGATTGTTGGAAGAACAAACTCAAAAATTTCACTGAAGCTCAATGGCTAAATATTTCCAAGAACTTGCCCGTAGTCATAACCAGTACTAGGGAGTGTTGCAGCACAAGAAAACTAGCATTCACGCGTGTTGGTCAATACTGTCACTGTAAAATAAACTCAGCATATAACAGTAAGCCTGCGAGTTCAAAATTTTATACAGTACAGTCTTATTCATCACAACAAATTTCCCAAGTCTTTGGAGACACTGTTTCTTATGAACCTAACCAAACTTGCCAATACTTAGGCAATCACTTCACCGCACTTCACTTGCAATCTCTACAATATCAATTGTTTCTTCTTCCAACGACAATCTGCACGGGAAGAAACGAATCATTGATTGTTAGGTGTTAATTTAATTAGTATAAATTATTTCGTAGGTTCTATAGATGTCATATTTGCTTACGTGAAATTTAATAATATACGTTTAAAAATTACTTTTTAAAGACAATACTTCCAAAGAATCCAGTATCTCCAATCTTACAGATGTACAATGAATTTCTCACCTAATTTTCGAAAATTTAAAAAATGTACTTTTCAATTTTCTTAATATATACCTATATTTTTTTTAATATATAATTTTTTCAAAATTATTTATTCTGTTAATTGATTCATGCATTGCCTCTGATTTCACACAAGTGTGCAAAATTTCAGATCAATTAGACGCGTAAAAGTGTGTCAAATATCAGTTATAAGATTTGTAGCTGACAAAATTATTTTTTCAATTTTTTTAATATCAAAAAATTTTTTTTTTACTTTTTAAAATCATTTATTTTGACATTTGATTCATGCATTGTCTCCAACTTTAAACAAGTATGCAAAGTTTCAGATCGATAGGATAAGTAGAAGTGTGTTAAATTTTGATTACAAGATTTGTAGCAGACAGACAAACAAGAAGTGAAGTTAAAGAGAAGTGTTGTAAAAAAGTTAGCTATAGACTTAACTGCAGCCGATGCAGGCTCATACATATGTATATAGAAAATAAAACTCGGTGAAGTCCATGCGAGTTACATTCTCTTACAACGAAGGAAGGACAGTTGAAAGGAGTACCGGTAAACAATTAACTCGAGCTATGACGTGTTGTGCCAAAACATAGAACCAAAAAAACAACAACAAAGTCAGTTAAGTCAGTTCCACCCTTTACACATTCAATGAGTTTCAAACATATCACTGCTGTAGTACAAGCAAAATTTATACAAATATACATACATTTTAACATATGGAAAAATGCTTTTACTTTAGAAATGAAATTTTGATAATTTCATGATCAACACAAGGCAGTAAATCGAGATAAGAACGTGTTAGCAATGATCAAGAAGTGATCATTTATATAAGACAGAGAATCAAGTCTACCAATTGTACATTACACTATAGTATAGGTAGTCTACTTTATTGGACATGATGAAAAACTGCTGATATGTTAACTGTGCAATCTAACATTATCTTGATGTTAACTAAGAAGCAGAATGTTGATGAATTCTATGCAAGTCTTCATTTATGATGTGCATTTTATTTATTGGAAATGAAAAAAGTTATAAAAAAACACTGATGTTCATCACTTGAATCCTGCAAAATGAACACCTGCTGTTTGTGAAAGAAACTCGAGGCTCTAAACATGCCATGACAATGTTTCAAATATAACAGACGGATTTGCTAGTACGAATTCAAGTTGTGCAACTTGCTAAATTGAAAGATAGGTATTGAAGAGGCAGTTTCATGTTTTCATACAGCATGACTATGATGTGTTACAGAATTACAGCACATTAGCTCAATCTTCATTAGAAGTTCTTAGCTCAATTAGATTACTTCTAGGTAACTATTTTGTCACAGGCATTGCATCTCCTTTTAACAAACATATTTGTTACACTGCCACAAGTCAAAATTAGGAAATAGAGCAGATGCCCTCTCTGAATTTTTGTTTATGTTTGATGGATGTAGTATTACAATGAAGTGTGAATTGTAGAACCTCTAAATAATCAAGCCGACTGAATTGATATAGACACCCTAAGCCACTACCCCCTAACATCTTCCAGATTACTATGCTGCCGCTGCAGGATCTATGTAAACCTCCAGTTCTATAATTCCACCATAAGTAATGTATGGTAATTAAAAATTCATCTATATGCATTGTGTGGATCCTTAATTGATCAAGCATGGAAATTGGAGACTAAGTGGAAAATAAAAATATAGGTTTTAAAGACAACACTTCCAAAAAATCCAGTGTCTCCAATCTTACAGATGTACAATGAATTTCTCATTTAATATTCGAATATTAAAAAAATTAATTTTTCAATTTTTTTAATATATACAATTTTTCTAATATATATTCTTTCAAAATTGTTTATTATGTTAATTGATTCATGCATTGCCTCTGACTTCACACAAGTGTGCAGAATTTCAGATCAATTAGACAGGTAAAAGTGTGTCAAATATCAGTTACAAGATTTATAGCTGACAAAATTATTTTTTCAATTTTTTCAATGTTGAAAAAAAATTTTTTTAATCATTTATTTTGACATTTGATTCATTCATTGTCTCCAACTTTACACAAGTGTGTAAAATTTCAGATTGATAGGATAAGTAGTGTATTCAATTTCAATTATATATATACAAGATTTGTAGCAGACAGACAAACAAACGAGAAGTGAAGTTAAAGAGAAGTGTAATAAAATGTTAGATATTTTGCATTGAAACAGCCAAGTAATACTGAGAAAGTTGTTCTTACCAATAGGAAGCAGAACCCCCAAATTTCCATTCTGGGAACTCAGACAATTTTACTCCAGAAACTAAATTAAGGCCATTAAGGTCAAGATTTCAGCATCTTTTCACGCTTCCTATAAAACCATTTTGACCTTAAATTGGTGTTGATGTTTAATTGCAGATTCTATCATACATAATGAATCAATCAATTGATCAACACAGCATGGATCTGCCAGCAATTTCAATTGATATCCATCATCTGCATCAATGACAATACCGGTACTGTACATGCTTAGGCTGTATTGATCATTCACTATTGGCGATTGATCATTAGATCATAACTCAAAATCTCCAGAAAAATAAAATGATAAACATAATCATACCTTGTCTTCTTTAGGGCAAAGAATTTGGTGTCCTTGACCTATGTGTCACCTTACTTTACAGTCTGGGTTACCTGTTCAATCACAAACAATTGATCGATCAATTGTAGGTAGGTAACCATTTGGAGGAGTATCAGCCAATTGTTTACATTGATATCATAGGTAACCATTTGAGCTGGACCTGCTCGCGTGTGAGGCCAGAGGGCCTCAGAGCTGCGCCTCGCTGTACCGCATTCCTAGTTTCCTACACACGACCTTCACTGCGCGAGCCTCCGCCCACGCCTTGCTACGAGATCCTAACACCACCAGCTCCGTGGTGGCCGTATGCATTTCTTGCTTCTATAATACTGGATTTATTGAAATAAAATGCTGCGATGAATATATTATTTATTCATTTTTTTACTTCTATAATAAAGAGAATTTATTAAAATAAAATGCTGTGATGAAAATATTATTGATTGATTTTTTACTTTTATAATACTGAATTTATTGAAATAAAATGCTGCGATGAATATATTATTTATTCAGATTTTAATTTTATGATACAGAATTAAAATAAAATGCCGCGATGAATATTCTAATTTGAGAACGTAATCCGCATTATTGATACGCCCGGAGATCGGAAGTTAGTTTATACTATTAGCAATAATTATCATGATTTTAATCATAATGATAATATAATGCATGATATGATGTCATTTCATACATGCGTTCTGGTGTTAGCATGATGCCGTCATTTCATGCTGGGGCCCTGCATGCTGTTGGGCATGATGACGTCATTTCATGCTGGGGCCCTGCATGATGTTGGGCATCATGACGTCATTTCATGCTGGGGCCCTGCATGATGTTGGGCATCATGACGTATTTTCATGCTGGGGCCCTGCATGATGTTGGGCATGATGACGTCATTTCATGCTGGGGCCCTGCATGATGTTGGGCATCATGACGTATTTTCATGCTGGGGCCCTGCATGATGTTGGACATGATGACGTCATTTCATGCTGGGGCCCTGCATGGTGTTGGGCATGATGACGTCATTTTCATGCTGGGGCCCTGCATGATGTTGGGCATGATGACGTCATTTCATGCTGGGGCCCTGCATGGTGTTGGGCATGATGACGTCATTTTCATGCTGGGGCCCTGCATGATGTTGGGCATCATGACGTCATTTCATGCTGGGGCCCTGCATGGTGTTGGGCATAATGACGTCATTTCATGCTGGGGCCCTGCATGATGTTGGGCATGATGACGTCATTTCATGCTGGGGCCCTGCATGATGTTGGGCATGATGACGTCAGTCTCTTATACACATCTAGATGTGTATAAGAGACAGGAGTATCAGCCAATTGTTTACATTGATATCATAGGTAACCATTTGAAGGAGTATCAGCCAATTGTTTACATCAATGATAATGCTGGTATTCATGATACTTAACTGTTCGACTCATAGAATTCAAAAATTAACTCGAGGAAGCATCCAAAATACGGTAGTTCTTGCTTAGCCACTCAGTTTGCCAATGGTTGTATCAATCCTAGATTTCATCTAATCTCATCGATCAACAATGCAACTAACATCACAACAGCACTTTTGTTGCTGGCCTTCAATAGAAACAATCTATTAGGTAAACAAAATTGAGTCACAACTTTCTAGCATGATCAAATAGCTTTTTAGTTGCTATGTGGTGGCAACCTAATTGAACAAACTGGAAAAACAGGCCAAAGCGACCCATGAATGAGAAAAAAAACCTGTGAACAACTGAATACAGATAATTTCCAATCTGCAAACAGGGTGGTACAGGATATCGCACGTATTGCAGAAATATTGAGGCCCTGAAATGACAAAATTTCAATACATTTTAAATCAAGTATCCCGATTGTGCACTTGTATTAACAATTAGATGGGAGGTGATTCATCCACTGTGAATCTTGCAGATCCTAAAATGGTGGGACATGTCAGTCACGACCTAAAAGATAGATAAATTCCATGCCTGGGTACAGACAGTGGATGAATATTTGAAGATTTTTGGCAACACATAAGAATCAAAAGTAAGTCTTTAAAGACTTAATTTTGATGCTTATGTGTTGCCATAAATCTTATAGTCAGATGTGTTTTGTTGGTACTTCTATAAGAATTAATCAAGTATAATGTCTCAAAGGTGTTTGGTTCAAATTAACATCCATATAATATAATAAAGAGAAAGTATTTTTGGCCAGAAATTGGTAATACTTTGGTA